GCTGAACCCTGGGCTTTTCTTGCTGTGTTTGGGGCTGGGTCACAAACCTGGATGCAAGTTTTGCCCTCTGTCCTGTCCCTCCCTTGGTCTTGAACCCATCATGTCTTTTGTTCCAAGTTACTGTTCTTCAGATTATTTCTGTTTTCTTTTGTTTGTTCTTTACAGGTTTTGAAGCAACAGGACTAAGGGAAGAAATTGGCCGTGGTGATCTTGGCTTCAAGGTGCCTCCTGTGTGCGTTTTGGGGTCTGTTTTTGCATCTACGTGAAGGAGTCCAAGGAGGTGTAATATAGGTGCTAATTTCTAACTTCTGTGATTCTGAGCAGAGTTCCATTTCCTCATTGTAAGTAGGGTAGGTGGAGTCAGAAGCTGCTTAGTGGGGGTGAAGAGCACAGCTTCTGAGGCTAGCCAGTAATTCAAGTCGTGCCTCTGCTACTTCCTTCCTGTGTGACCTTGGGCAGGTTGCCTAACCTCTCTATGTCTCTGTGTCCTCTTTATAAATTGAAGATTAAAGAACCTCATGAGAGCATTAATTATGAAGTTTAAATGAGTTAATAGGTGCAAAGCACCTGGCACATAATCACTCAAATGTTGCCTGTTTTTCTCTCCTTCTCAAGCTCATGTGCAGCAGGTTAAGTTAATTATACTCAGTTTAGGGCTCATGTTCATTTTTGGCTCATTATAGTCCTTCCTTTCTTCATTTGGTCATTTTTTTAATCTCCCCCTTCCTTCTAGCTCTGCTCCTCCCCATCTCCAAGCCATTTGTTTATATATTTACCATGCATCTTTGTGGTTATATGTTTAAAAATTTACATCACTGCTGTATTGTCTAGATGTCTTTCTGTTTCTCACTTTTGTCCTGAGCTCCAGGTTTTTGAGACCCATCACATTATTTCTAGCTTCTGGGTACAGCTACCACATTTCACTGCCTCAGTGATGGACAAGCAAGTTGCCTTAACTTCCCTTCCCCCCATTCCAAATAAAGCTGCAGTGAACATCCTTTTACATCTGCCCATGTGGACTTCTGTGAGACTTTGTTATGATGGGTATACAGGGATGGAATTCAGAATGGAGTGAAATAGACAGTATTTGAAGGAAGCAAAAGGAATGGATGTTATCAAGCCCCGAAATGAGTAAATCATAATAGCACTTGGCCAATTAAGAAGTTGAATGTCTATTGGGCTTGTCTTGATTCCCAGCCAAGGACCTCTTTTGTTTTTAATTTTTTTAACTTGAAATCACGTGATTATATGTTCTTTGAAAACGATTCAGATGACACAGAAGTAAGAATAAAGAATAAAAATGGAAAGGGACCCTTTACATTGCTTCCCATTTCCAGTAGATAAACACTAGTGACAGTGTTGTATTCATACTATGTCTTTTCTTAGGCACAAATGTGAACCATTACTATTGTTTTACAGCTTAGCTTTTCTTACTTAATAGGATGTCATAAGATTGTTCTATGTTAGCCCCAAAAGATGTGCTTTAGTTTTTATCGATGCTCAGTATTCCATTTTAAGGATCTATCATAGTTTATGTAATTAGTCTCCTTCCAATAGGTATTTTGGGTGCTGTCAGTTTTCTGGCTATTATAATCAGAGAGCCAGCACTTCTTGTGGTGTTGGTCTGCTGGTGAGGAATTCCTTTAGCTTTTACACTTCTTTATTTTTGAAAGATAGTTTTGCTAGCTATCAAATTCCAGGTTGACAATTTTTCCTTTCAAAACTTTAAAGATGTTGCTCCCCTGTTCTGTTTTAATTATTTCTGTTGAGAAATTGGCTCTGATTCTTACCTATGTTCCTATGTTATGCCTTTTAAAAAAAATTTGACTGCCTTTTAGATGCTCTCTTTATTTCTGATTTTAAGCAGTTTGATTGTGGTGTGCCTGGGAGTATTTTCCTTTGTGTTTCTTTTGCTTGGAGTTCATTGAGCTTCTGGGTTTATAGTTTGCACCAAATGGAAAACTTGGCCATTATTTCTTCAAATATCTTTGCTCTCCTTACTCCTACCCCTCTTTTTTTTTTTCCAGGGACTCCAATTGCATATCTCTTAAGCCTTTTGAAATTGTTCCACAGTTCGTCCATGCCCTGTTTATCTTTGTCCTTCTTTTTTCTCTCAATTCGTTGTTAAGTTTCTATTGCTGTGTCTTCAAGTCCTTCAATCTTTTCTTCTTTAGTATGTAATCTGTTCTTCATCCCAGGCATTGTATTTTTCATCTCTAGAAGTTTGATTTGGGTCTTTTTTATATCTCCTGTGTCTCTTCCAACATGTTCTTATTTTTCCCTACCTTCTCGAATTTATGGAGTATGTTCATAACAGCTATTTTATGTCCTTCAAGTCTATCATCTGTGTCATTTCTGGGTCTCCTATTAATTTTTTTTTGGCTTCTTTCATGCTTAGTAATTTTTGATTTACAGACATTGTGAATTTTACATTCAGTGAGGGATATTTTAGTATCCCTTTAAATATTTTTGTGCTTCGTCCTGGTTATTGCTGTTGTATTAGTTTCCTGTTGCTGCTGTAACAACTTGCCACAAATCTAGAGGCTGAAAACCACACAAATATATTATCTTATAGTTCCGGAAATTGGAGGTCCAAGATAGGTTTCACTGGGCTAAAATCAAGATGTTGGCAGAGCTGTATTCCTTCCGGAAGCTCTAGGGGAGAATCTGTTTCCTTTTTCAGCTTCTAGTGGCCGCCCACATTCCTTGGCCTCTGGCTCCATTTCTGTCTTCAAAGCCAGCAAGGTTGGGCAGAGGCCTTTTCATGCTGCTATCTCTCTGATTCTCTCTCTTCTGCCTCCCTATTTTGCTTAGAAGGACGTTGACATTGGGCCCACCCAGATAATGCAAGATAATCTCCCCATCTCAAGGTCATCTGATTAGCAAGCTTAATTCTATTTGCATGTATTCTAACACATTCACTGCTCTGGGACTAGGATGTAGACATCTTTAGGGGCCATTATTCTGCCTACCACATAAGTTAAATTGTTGTGCAGGACCAGAGCAGTCTTTCGAATAGAGCTGTGTTTGGCAAACGATAGCACATGGGGAAAATCTGGCCCCCCGCCTATTTTTGTAAATACAATTTTAATGGAACACAGCTATGCCCATTCATTCACATATTGTCTATGGCTGTTTTCATTCTATAGTGACCCACAAAGCCTAAAATATTGACTGTTCTGGCCCTTTACAGAAAAGGTGTTCCAGCTCCCTTTCTAGTGTTAATTTCTCCCCACTTGTTGAGGCCATACCTTTGAGTACTTGATCCGATGGTTTGTATAGTATGAGAGTCCTCCACTTTGGCTATTGGGAATGTGGACTACTCTTAGTCCTGTGTGAGCAAGCACTGAAAGTTGTTCTGCTGGGTTCCTTCTGGTGGTCTGTGTTGTAGGCTCAGGTAGTTTCCTTATGCGCCTGTCTAAAGCATCTGGAGCATTGGAGCTCATCCTCTGGGCACTTCACTCTCCTGTGATTCTCTGCCCTGCATATTCTAGCTTTCTTTTCCTCCCCAGTTCTTAAGTCTGTCTGCTTAACTCAGGGAGACCCCTGAACTCTGCTTGGGTTGCTCCCACCCTTCCACAGCTTGGAAATCCTCCAGGAAGCCAGCTGGGACAATTGTAGATGACCCACTTGTTTCCTTTTTCTCTTAGGGGTTACTGTCCTGCTCTTCCTGTTGCCCAGTGTCTAGAAATCATTGTTTCATATATTTTGTCCAGCTTCGCGGATATTTAAAGTGGACGGTAAATGTGGACCTTGTTACTCCATCATGACTAGGAGCTACCAGCACTTCTTCTGTAAACATTATTTTGTATTTGTGAAGTTACCTTTGAAGATAGCACATGGGGTCAGAGATTCTGCGTTTTAATGATATTACCAAACTGGCCTTGCTAAAGATTGTCACCTTATACTTTTGATGGTCTCATTCTAATAGCAGGGATTATGGGGACAGATGATGATATGAAACTGCTTTGAGCTCTGTAAAGTGCTGGGAACATGCCACAGGTTGTGGTTCTTAAGAAAGGGCTTCTCCTGGCTGTTCCTCCTTGGACTTGGGTCTCTGGTGACCATTTTGCTCTGTCAAGCAGTACTCAGGCTGGGCTTTGCAGGACTATATTATTATTTCCTTAGTGAGTGATGGTACCTGGTGTGTGTGTGTGGGGGGTGTCTTCCTATAGGCTGATACTTTCTTTCCTGACATTTGTTAAGCACCTACACATGCTAAATAATATCCCAAGTGCTTCATGTAGTTACTGCGATATAACTCAATTCTCCACTACAGCCTTGGAGCTTGGGATGAAATGGAAACCAAGAGAGGTGGCGTTTCTTGCCCAAGGTTAAAGCAAGGATTCTTTCTGTCTTTGAATCAAATCTGCCATTTCATACAACAGACCATCCATTTTAGTCGAGATTTTTTAGGTCGGAAGTGACAGAAACTCACCTCAAACTTGTTTAACACGCTGAAAGATATCAGAAATGTGTTGCTCTCCACGTCTCTGTTCTCGTTTCTTTGTGTTGACTAGTTCTTCAGGCAGGCCCTCCCCAGGTGGTGGCAGAAATGGCTGTAGCATCACCAGGCTCATTTCTCACCCCCGTAGTGGAGTCCCAGTGGACTCTACCTGTTTCCCAGTGGTTTCAGCTGAAGTCCCAAGGAAGCCTCCTGTTGGTCCAGCTTGGGTCACAGGCTCATCCCTGAGTCAATCACAGTGCCAGGAGAGTGTGTTATTCTGATTGGACAGATGTGGGTCATTTAATTCTTTTCATGGAGTTGGGGGCTGGGGGTTGCCCATTGAAAACATTCAGATCATGGATTCCTGAAAGGACAAGATAGTCTGTATCAGAAGAAGGGTTGCTGAGTAAGCAGGAACAAACCTGTCCACCGTACCCTTCCGGCCTCTGAAAGTAAGCTGGGCCACTCTAGCCCTTGCAGTTCTGTCATTCTTGGTTGTCACAGGTCTATCTGGCACCTGCTGAGTGGCTTGTCTCATCTGGCCTCGGTTTGACAGTGGATTCCACCCTCCCGGCTTCCGGCCATCAGTTCTTCTCTCTCACTACCTTGGGCAGGTGAGGCTTCCTGACTTTCCCAAAATTGTACCGTATTAACATCGAGCAGATTGGAGTAGATGTCAGGTCTTGACTTTTCAGTGCTGGAGCCCCAGGTCTTCAGCCCAGGGTGGGGGTGAGCTGCTCCCAGGAGGTTGAAAGTTGGAAAGCAAGTGAACTGTGTGCCTGCACGTGTATATGAGTGTTGCGGGGGGAGGTGGTACACGTCAAGAGAGAAGTCCACCACGCTGTGCCCATTTTACTTTTGAGGCTACTAAACAAGAGGCATTGTGGGGCAGAGCCTTACCTCCTAATTGGTACCAGGAAACAAAGGCCCAGTAGGCTGGGGATCCCCTTAAACCCCGTCTCTCATCATTAGTAGATGACTCTTCTGAGGGTAGAGAGTCGATGACCTCCTGCACTAGAAGAGCTAGCAGATGCCAACCCCATCTTCAGACCTGCTGCTTCTGAATCTCGTGGGGAGAGTGAGGTTGAGAATCTGAGACTTTAACAGACTCCCCAGTGCTTTCACACACTATAGGTTGAGAGCCTCACTTAGGTGACTCTTGGAGGAGGGTGAGTTTTTCTTTCCTTGGGTTTTTCTTTTAGGGATTTTTCCTTTATTCCAATGGGACTGTTTAACTAGTTTATCCAGTTTTTTGAGGATTTCCCTCCTTCATATTTGAATTGCTTCTTTCAGAGTAAGGTGAAGTGTCACTGTTTGTCTTTGGAAATGAGTCTGAAGTGTAGGACTGCCTAGCACATACCTAGCACTTTCCGTGTCTCCAGACATATATTGGAAATAACATGAAAAGAAAGGATAACGCACGGTGTGTCTGTGTTTCTTACTAAGCAAAGCTGACCCCTAAAGCCAGTGACACATCAGGATCAGTCATGAGAACTGGGAGGCGCAGGTGTTTCAAAGGAAAGGAGTCTTTGGCTTGTAAAAGCTCAGCGACTCATATGACACCACATTTCATTTGTTCATAAGTTGAGACCCTAAAACTTTGTAGAGAAAAACATTATTTTTACTCACTATGAGATTTAAAAAGTCGTTTTTGCCAGAGAACCCTTTCATCAATGAAGTTTTACATAGGAGCTCAGTATATTTGATAAAAATGATTTTTAAAATTGGGGAGGGAGGGCCACATCATGACTTTCATGGGCCCTAGGCACTTTTGCTTTTGTGGGCTCCTTCTTCCATAATTTTTAAAAATTACATTTTATGACTGCATTGGTATAAAGATGATTATATTAACATTATATGTTAAAGATTTTCTCTGACCTAAAAGTTCAGTTTCTTTATTCTGATTTTAAAATAAATTAAAACATTTTTGTGGGCCTCAGACAACTGTGACTTCTCTGCCTGATGGGGAAGTCAGCCTTGAAGAGTCAGAAATCTGCTGGCCTGGGTGGCTCCGGAAGCAGGCTGGAGGAGTTTAACCCAGTTTGAAGACTGTTGCACAGACTCATCACTTGTACTTTATCACACAGTGCTTATCAGTCTGCTTCACTGAGGAAGAATCGTAAGATACACAAGGACGGAATGTCAAAGTCATTGTCCTCCTTCCCCAGGTCTTGTTCTTTAATCTCTCAAGCATCATTCCTGCCAGGTGATCACCTGTCCAGCTCCTTGAACCCCTGTAGGAACAAGGACTTCATTCCTGTGTTTGAGTTCTTTCTGATCCAGCTCTGTAGGACTTCATGGTACCCAGGGAACCCCTGGGTCAGTCACTGTTTATCCCCCAAGCCATTTATGAGCTGGGTTAGAATACCTTGTAAGTGAATACCTTACAAGAATACCTTGTAAGTGAATTGGTTAGGAGCCAGAAGTCTGGGGTTGGGGATGCAGCTTTGTCTCTCTGCTGTTGTGTGACCCCAGCAGGAACCTTTCCCTCTCTAAACTTGAGGTGCCCCATTTGGGGCATGATGGTCCTCTCATATACTGCTGTCGTGTGATGCTAAAGTGACACCAAGGCTCATCCTGAGCAGATGGTGCCCACAGCCCAGGTTATTCAGGGATATAGAGAGCTTGTTGGCTCTTGCATGGAGGTCAGGGGCTAGAGGCTCTGTGTTCCTGTCCCCTAGGTCTGGGTGGGGCACGATTATAGGCCTTGAGAACAGGTGAGGAGAAAATTTGAGGATGAGAAAATACAATGGTCGGGTTGCACAGGACGATCGCTCTACTCCACTTTTCCTGAGATTTAGGAAAATCTGGCCATTCCAGAGCCCAGTGGGAAGATGTCCAATGTCCTCCTAGTGCCATGCGCTTGCCCATGCAGATTGGGCAGAGAGGAGTCAGGACTTTCATGTGCTTTCCTCTTTGGGGCTTGCTGGCCCCAAAGCCTGAGCTGGCTTAGGGGTGAGCCGTAGTGGGAACGATCCTGCCCTTTCTCCCTCTTGCCCAGCCTGTCTTAGCCCCTGGTGCTTGGAAGAGGGATGCTCTCGTCCCAAGCCCTGCCCCCTGGTACTCATGGCCTGGCCTATCTTTGTGACCCCTATACTGCCCCTGTCTCTGCTGTCCTAGATGGTTTGCCTACACACATCCACGATTTCTCACTTCCACACTGGTTCATGCTATCCCTCCTTCCAGGGCAGTTGGCATGATGGCTTCCCAGCCCACTGAAAGAGTGGGGTGCAGGCTGAGTCCCCGTGCTGGCCTCTGCTCCAGCTTCTAATATATACCTGGTGTTTGCGCACCTGGTTCCTGCTCTCCACTTTGTAATTATTGATTCCTGCACGTCCACTTACCATGTGCCAGCTGGGGTAGACTTGCCACTGAGCGCCAGCTTCAGGGGCTTAGAAGTTCCTGGAAACGGTGACTTATTATTGGCCTTGTGACTGTGTCTCTGCCAGCCAGGTGTGTCTAGGAGAAAGAGTGAGTGTGTGAAGTGCTGTACAGAACGTATTCATGACACCGGATGAATTTTTTTTCTTGGGTCTGGCTCTTCAGGGTTGTTTTGTCTCTCACTGTTATGTTTTTACTTAACGAATTCATCCAATGATCTGCCAAGAGAAAAGTCAGTTTCATAGAGTGGCTCATCTGAAACCACTTCCCTCCCTCCCTCCTTCCCTTCATACCCGATTGTACACGGGACCCGTCTTCCTGACCCAGCCACGAAGGAGCTCACGGTCTAGCATGAGATAAGTAGCCCAAGTGCAGAGTGAATGTCAAGTTGGTGCTGAACTTTCTGCTTTCTAAGCGGTGTTTTCTCACAGAACCTTTGTTTTGTTTAAAACAAAGTTTAACTTCATTATAAAAAGTAGCACATGCTCTTTATAGAAAAAGTTGGAAAACACAGAAGAGTCTAAGGAAGAAAGAAAATCACCTGTGATCCGTACCTACCAGATGCTTACACCTTTGACGTTTTGATTGCTTCCCTTCTAATTATTATTTTTGAACCAATAGGTGCAATAGAGACACTTTTTCTCAGAGCTTAAAAAAAAAGCTCAATGTTATGCGATTCGCATTTCCCAGTGTTATTGTAAACCCTGTGGTTTTGGCTATATGGTGTTCCATGAAGTGGCCATACCCTAGTTTACACAACAATGCCCTACAACAATGCCCTGTTTGGGGAATGTTTTGCTACTTCTGGTTTTCCCCTATTATAAATAATGCTGTGAAGACTACTTTGTAAGTAAATTGGTTTTCATGTTTTGGATTGTTTCCCAGACTTTTCATCTAGAAGTAATCTTCGTGATCACCCAAACTGCTGCTTCTCTAACTTTGGTGTGTGTACACATCACCTGGAGGGCTCGTGAAAATACGGCTCTCTGGGCCTCACTCTGTAGGTTCTGATTCAGTGGGTGAGGGTGGTGCCTGAGTCTTCATCCTCCCAGGCGCCCAGGCTCCCAGGCGGTGCTGATGCTGCGGTGTGTGGACCGCCGTTTGAGAGGCATCAACAAGCCTCTCCTTTGTGGTGAGGGAAGTTGAGGCTAACGACATAGGAGAATGGGGGTGGAGGCCATTTTCCAGGCCAGGCCAGGCCAGTGGGTGGCGCCCATGCTAGGACACGGACCCCCACCCCTTGCTGCCCCTGTCACCTGGGGAACCTATAGGAGAAGGCAGCATTCATCCATCGAAGTATAATTAGGATGAGATTTCAGCCACTCAGGGCAGGCAGGTGTCTGGTGCTGACATGTGCTCAGTACTGGGATATGGGTGAGACCAGGGTATAAGAGCTAGTTTAGGAAAGAAACTGGCAGAGACTAGTGAATTATCTTAAATGAGAGTGAGTGACAGCCTTCTTAGGACGCAAGGGGTTAAACAGCCTCCCCGGAGCCAAAGGGGAAACTCAGGAGTAAGTCGTGACTGCTAATTAATTCAATTAAACTACTTTATAAGCTCCGCTGGTGTCAGTAAATTGTTAAAGTCTATTAAAAAATCAGTGGAACGTGATGAGGGTTTGGGGACGCAGCATCACTTTCCTAGAGTTCTTCCATCGTCTTCCTCCCCCGTAGCGGGGTGCACTGTAGGAGGGGGTGTCAGAGGACCTGTCTGGTGTCCCCTGACGACCTGCCGTGTGTGCTGAGGCAGATCCCACCTCCCTTGGGCCTCAGTTTCCCCATCTGTTCAGTTAAGTGATGGACTGGTTCCTGAACACCCACCCTTTCAGTGTCAGAATTATTAGGGTTTGGTTTCAGTCCCTTCTGGTTAGAGGCAGCTGTTCCTACAGATGTGCTGCCCAGTCCGTGCCCTTCTTCATGTCAAATTCATCTGGTCAGTTTTCAGGGATGGATGTAAGGGCAGGCGACCCAAAGGGGAGGTTCAGGCTGTGGAGAGAGGGGAGTGAGCAGGGCGGACGGCGCCTAACACCTGTGCTGAGTTAAGGGGGCTGCGTGCAGTTCCTTCCAAGTGGGAAGTGGTATCCTCCACTTTTAGGGGTGAGGATATTGAAGCTCCCTGAGTCAAAGCGACCCACTCGCCAGTAAGTGGTCGAGTTTGGGATTTGCTTTCACAGTTGTCATGCCTCAAAGCCCCCATGGCTAACTGCTTTCTTCTGCAGATGTATTTAAAATAA